ATCACCACTCAACAGGGGTGGAACAGAGGTAAGGTGCCAAGAAATGCTTGTCTAAGGACCTCCAGCAAACCAGCGCAGGAATTAACCCCAATTCCCAAAATAGTCTGCTGCAATTTTCTTGCTATGGATCACAGGAATACCTCTCAAACCTGTTTACCTGGTCTCCTAGAGTCACAGTAGGTTGTTGTCATATCGGTGGCATTGGATTGTGTGAACAAGTTTGACTTCTGTTCCTGCCTATGCAATGCCAGTTTTCTAGCTACAAAGGAGACTCTGGTTCCTCATGGTTGTCCCATTGGCACCTCTCTGCACCAATACATGTAAAATGAAGTTGGAAAAAAATATTTGAGGCAAAGAAAGGAGCTGTCTGAAGTAACATGGTAGAAAAAAAAAAATCACATTAGATGAGATTATTCACATGGTTGACTGTAATGGAAATACACGTCAGAACAGAAATGTGGCAAAGATGAGGAAAGAGATCACTTTTTTATTTAGTTTATTTTCAGTAAACTGTAGAACCACTGAAACCAGAAACTCTAGCTAGGAAAAGCTGCAGAGTTACCTGGCATGGTGTTGGGTGATTTTTCTGAATAGGTCTCAGAGCTTCAGTTCTGTGGGGAGATTATGAGATTTAACAAGTGTAGAATGTAGGCCTGTGGCATTCCTATTGATCATTGTGCAGCTATGCCTTAAGGATATGTTGTGGTACTTTAAGCAAAACTTTTCAATCTAAGAATCTAAGGTGTTTAAATTGTGCATATGAACCTGGACTTTTCAAAGTGGTAAAAAATGTATTTGGTGTTGTCATTAATAGGAATTTGGCTGCTTTTACAGCTTGAAGCTACAGAATAAATGTGTATTTCACCCCCAGAAAAATCTTTAGTATATTTATTTATTTTTATTAAAGTGGAACTAAAGAGTTTAGGGTTGGGGGGTAGGGTAGGGGAAGCAGATATATCTGGTGAAGAAAATCTTCCTAAATAATCAATAGAGAGATAGCTTTGTGGAATTAAGGGTGAGTTTGGGTGAAACACGACGGAGGAAATCAAAACAGGTATCTTTTCAACATGCTTTAAAGTATCCCCTGATCAATAGATTTCTAGTTAGAGATTTAAGATTTCTGTCCAACAACGTTTTCTGCATAGCCTTTTTCAGCAAAAGAGCTAAGCATATATGGAATTTTAAGAACATGTTCATGTGATATTTGTATAGGAATGTTTTCTTAAGTCTAGGAACTCATTTGATACTTCAAATTTACTTTAAAAATCATAGCCAAAATAATTAACATTATCTATTAGTTTATTTGAACAGATAAGCATTATGCAACTGTCTGAAAGACCTAAAAATGGCTTGGGCAGAGGGAGATCATTTTCATGTCAGTAACTTTAAGAAATTTTTCAAGTAATTTTCCTGGTTTGCTTTTTTTCTTATTTTTTTCCTAAGTTAAAGAAACTTGAAAATAAAAGTAATTGTTTGAATAATTTGTCTGCCATAGCAGTCCTTTAAGGAGTTCTGACTTAAGTGACAATTCTGTTGACTCATTTCACAAGCTTAAAAGTGCTCAAATGAGTGCTAGCACTTAGTATATCCTTCAAGTTTAGTGTTTCTATACAAATATTTTGAGTTCTGGGAAATATGTATGTTTTCTCTTTGTGCAAGCACCAGTCTTTTTAGTGTCAAACAGTATACTTTCCAACCATGAGAACAATGAAGTTATAAAGGTTTATAAAGACTCCTAATTGGACATACAGATTCAAGATATTAAGAAGGAGTTTGTTTATGTATAAAAAGGCTTTATACTGTGACAGCTGGGATATCAGGAAACCAGATTGAAGAAGGCAGTTTCTTTCAACTGTTATGCTTTCCAATAAACTGGCCAAAATCAGTCCCATTAGGTACTGGATATTCTGTTAATATTAACTACTGAAATGACTCTTCAGAAAAAGATGTGACTGTGGGTTACAATGTATTAAAATTAGCTGGGCTTTGTTCAGAACCATTAACTTTGGTGCCAGTGGCTGGCACTCAGCTAGACTGCAGCTTGGACAGCTTGTCCAGGACCTACCACTGAGTTGGTAATGGACAACTGAAAACAAAAATCTAAATAAAATTATAGCAGTGATCTCACTAGGATAGTGTATATCACTGAATGGGAGGCTGGGAGAAGTTTTCTTTTGCATAAAAGTGAATCTCTAGAGCCACGAGCTTTATGAGCAACTTTATAAAACAAATGCATGTTTTCATCTTTTTTTTTCTTTCTTAAGTGTCTTACGTGACTCTTTAAATCATCCGATACATCTTGTCTCCTTTTACTCTTGAAAAATTTAAAGATATTTTCTAAACCAGTCTTGTTTCTTAATATGCATACTTCATGCATGCACATACACTGAGTTTTTCATGCTTCTAACTAGAATGTCCCACCTTTCCTATTTTTTTAAAAGCTTCTATCTCAAGTAAGAGCTACTTCCTATCATATTTCAGTTTTGCAACCCAAAATACTCAGCCTTTATCCCTGACAGTATAGACTTTTTAAAAGGAGGAAATTGGTTTTATTGTTGTCAATTGTTTTTGCATTTTTTTCTAACAAAAAGGAATTAGCATGCTTATGTTCAAATCTTTCAGGTAACAGCAGTCATGAAGATGGAGATTAGAATCGAAGAAGTTTTAGTCTTGAAAAAAAATTTAGGGAAGTCAAAAAGGCCTGTTCTTATGATAAGTTTTGGTTGAACTTAGCTGGAGCTGTCATTACGCGTTACAGTTTATAGCAGTTGATGCGGTTGTATGAATATATGCAAAACCATTTTTGAAATAACTTAATTACATGTGCACTGAAAAGAAAGAAAATCCTGTCTTTTCAGTATAGGTTATCACGGTACAAGATGTGAATCAAATACAAGATTCATTTGTTCATTTTGTTTAAATACAAAATTATGAAATTAAAATCTTCATGCTACATTTACAGTCTAAATTGATAGGAAGTGAAATAAAAAAAAAATTCATGCTGATTTTCTAGCTCATATAAGGAAGATATCAGAAACCACAGCTATTAATGAATGGGTTACTAAGGGAAGAAGATGCAAGAGAGGAAGGAAGTAGGAAGGAAGAAGAATAACCTGAGAGTAGAAGCTCACATAAGCAATGGAGGTGGAGCTGCACTGGAATCCAACAAAAGTCTACTGTGCCAGGATCTGGAAATACCAAATATCTTGGGTTACAATCTGTTTAATTGCATTTCTGAGCAGAGTTTTAGTAAATCTCTACAGAGGTATATCTGGCTGCTGAACTGTTGTAACCTCTTGATGCTTGAGATTTATTTTCCCCTGTTTGCCCATCAAGAGATATTTAATGACCTACCTGAGATATGTGTCTTATCCAGTTCTTGATGGCTGGATTATGGCAAGGCTTGATTTGCTTGGATAATGTCTACCAAAGAGAGAGTGATTTGTTTATGGTTTGCAAGTGAAAGTTATTATAAGTGAAAGTAGCCATTTTGTAGCTTTACAGAGAGCAGCCCACCTTACACGCAGATAGTTGAAAGTAATGAATTGTGATTATCAGATAATATACTAATACATAATAATCAATATCAAATTAACTGTGCTTAACTGGCACAGAGTGTATATCGTTAATATCATGATTAATATAGCAGCACAAAGTTTTCAGATTCCAAGAAGCTAGGTATTCTGGTTTTTCGTCCCAGGAGAGGGACACAAGCAGATAACAGGCAATAAGTGAATGAACTGAAAGAGATTAAATCAGATGAAACCTACTTATAAATGCACTGTGAGTTTGCATCTAAGAGGCAAGTGAAAGCACATCAATTTTATTTTTAAATGAGAGAGAACAATCACAGGACAGCAAGTTATTTTTTTATAGATTTCTTTTTGAAAAAAAAAAGACAAAAAGTTGAGTTTCCAGAGAAATTACACAATTAGCACATATGTTGTTATGAAGATAGCTGCTGCAAAGATCTATTTCAAGGAACTTCTAATCAGTCTTATTACCACAATACCATTTAAGGTAGTTTCAGACACTACTTATTTTCTCGTTAGTTTACAATCCTTCCCATCTGCATCCAAATAGCTCATAGCAGTCTAATGTCAGATCAGCCCTTAACTCATTAAAGATATTTATTTTCCTTCCTGAAACCCACGGTTAGGGACTTGGCATGTCATACCAAGCTATTTAATAATAACAGACATAATTTAGTATTCCCTGTATAAAGAGAGAGGAGAACTAAATCCAGAAATATTACAGGATGTATTTGCACTACCTGATGAGTTTTTACTTCTTTTGTCTAATTTTTTATTGCCCTTTGTTTTGCTTCCTTATGCAGTCAGTATTAGACAAGAAGCTAAAAGAGCTGGAAATTGATTGAAGGCTTATACAATTGTTACTGCAGCAAGTTTTGTCATTGATTTAAATGGGAGCAAACTCAGGCCTTTAGTATTACTCCTAAGAGTCGAGACTAGAATTTTATTTGGACAGAAACTGAGCAGTTCTTATGATGTATTCTAAAAGAAGAAAGTTCAGGGATTTACAGACATTTTCACATATCTTCAGGCACTGATTTCTCAAGCTGTGCCAGGCAGCAGTGTTGTAATGCTCTGACAATATAAACAGTCACAGGCAGTTGACACAAAGTCATTCCCATAATTTTCAGGATGTTTAGAAGTACCAGCATTGAGATTTTAATTTTTTTTTTTTAATGCTCAATATAAATACTTGATTTAAAAAAAAATGTAAGCAGTATACGCTTACATATCAGAAAATGCCAATTCACTATTTTTAGATTTATCTCCATCAGCTGATACAAGCTTTAAATTACGTAACTGTATAATATTTTCTCCATTCTGTTAAAGGATGCTTAGGAACAAGTGAGGAACTACCATCTCTACAATACTTAAAACTCCTATTTTTATCCAGAGAAGCCAGAAAAGTTGCAATGGTGAAAGCATAATGATAATATATGTCTTTTCCTCTCTTTTTATATGGTTCAGATATCAGCATGAATCAATTCCAAGTCCACTGGTTACTGGAGTCCTGTGCGCACAATGACACCAAAGGACGCGGGAAACTAACAGAGCTGACTTACGTAAGTGTCCATTCAGCCTTCTGCTTGTCTCCGAATAGCTTCTAAGCAGTATGATTTATACCATGCTTTGTAGATAGATAAGGATGTTTCTTCTTTATGTTCCTCTTTGGCAAAGGATAAAAACAATCCATCTGGACTGTTTGGGGGTTTTACTGTGGTGTTCGGGGTTTTCTTAATCCATACTAGACTAATTTTATTTTTTTTTTGTCAGTATTATTTAGAAAACAAAAGTGGCAAACAAACTTCTAAATGCATCTACATTTCTAGAACATATATAACATGGAGCTTTATCTGTAATTAGTACCGTAGGGCTCTAGCAGAGTACCAATACCGAACAGTAAGAATAGTAATTAATAAACTAGGCTTTCTTTTAGACATTCAGGTGGGGTTCACAACCTTGAGGGCAGTAATAGAATAAGAAAAAAGGACCATAGGTGAAAAATACTAGACATTAAATCTGGAAGTCAGACAGGTATCAGATAAGAAGAAAAATTCTGTATAAGTACATGTCAGCCCAAATATATATTGCAGTGACAGTTCTTCATACTCAATTTGTTGGCAATCTAGTGTCATCTGTCTCTCTAAAGCATTATTTGAACAACGTTGTAATGTGGTTGGTGCATCACAATTGATTTAGTGGGTTATGGAGAATGGAAGAAATCACAATTCACCTTTCCTTCTTACGCTGACATACACTACCAGATCAATTCAGTGGAGTTAATGGTATGTAAAAGTACAGTAAGTCAAAAGACATCATTTTTCATGCAAGAGACTGTTAGCTTGTAAGATTTACTGCTTCATGGGGTCAGCAAAGCAAATTATTAGAGGTGAATTAAAAAAATGATTGTGATAGAATGTTATGATCAGTCACAATATTTCAAGTTATGCACATCCAAGATAGGAGAAATTTGACATTTAAGGAGTTTATTTCCACTAGAGGTCAGGAAAGACTCTTTGTAAATATATCCAAATGCATTATGGGATTAGTTCATTATTGCTGCCCAAAGAAGTGGTAAATGATGCATCCCTGGCAGGGTTCAAGGCCTGGTTGGACAGAGCCTTGGGCAACATGGTCTAGGGTGAGTCATCCCTGCCTATGGCAGGAGGTTAGAACTGGGTGATCTTAAGGTGCTTTCCAACCCTAACCATTTTATGATTCTATGATTCTGTTTTCTCTCAGTCATCTTATGGTAATTGGTCCAATGTACTTTGGGGAACTGCTTCTTAAGGGGAAGAATTTAGGTATAAGCAAACAGAAGAAGGTGGATGCTACAAAATCTTTGGTACCAGATATGATAGGTCAAGGTGAATACAGGCCTTAAGTTTCCAGTGTTGAGCATTTAGGCCCTGTCACAATAAATTAAAATAGTCCTAAGGAGGTGTCAAGCCTGTTAGAGCACTCTTCTGGCAGATGGAAGGTGAGGAATCAAGTCCATTCTCAGCTCTATCTCTATGTCTCAGTGAAGATGACCTTCCAAGGGCACATTAGACTAATCCAATTTGGCATTAGAAAAAAGTAGTTATGTAGAAGAATGCTAGAAAATAGTGATTCTGAAGGGAAGTAAAGACCTAAAAGGCAGTGAAAGACTTTTGACCTTAGACAGTCAGGTATTATTGGACATCTTCCCAGAAAAAAAAACCAAAAAACAACAAAACAAACTAAAAAAGCAAACCCCACATTTTCCTCTCATATATGATTTCTCCTAAAGCTTTCAGGCTTTGATTTTCAAAAGCACTTTAGACAACAAGAAGAATGTAGCAAGACACTTACGCTTTTTGTAAAGTTTTCTTCTCTGGTTATTGTCTTTAAATGGAGACTTGTGCTTTGTAGTTCAGCTGTGGAGCTTTTCTTCCTGACAAGAAGATAGAAGTAGTTAATGTTCTAAAGCAAAAAAAAAAATAAAAAAAAATCTTTAATGCGATGCTGGACTTTGAATGTGCTTTTAAAAAGTTGAATGTAGATGAAGCCTGTCATTTACAACAGCTTAACTCAGCTTTCTTACGTTTATTTAATTCGACTAGCATTTACATCCTCACATTGCTACTCCCACTCCATCATGCCTCTAAATGTTAGAAGCCAGTTGTTTTGATGCAGCATGGCAAAGGAACTGTGTAGAATTGAAGGACATATCCAAATACCATGATAATATATTATGCTACTGAAAATAATCATAATGTAGGCAATGTTTGCCGTGTTGTCTGAGTAAAAGCCATGTAGGCATGTGTTAAGAATATCAAAAAAATATTTTATTGGAGAAAATATTTCATCTTCTGCCAACCTTTTCTTTTTCTTTTTTTTTTTCTTTTTTTCCTTTTTTTTTTTTTCCTTTTTTCCTATTTGCACCATGTGATCTTTCTGGTTTTCTTGTTGTAGGAAAACTACATAATTCTGAAGGACCTGGCATTTTCATGCAAATACAAAGTAACTGTTCTGCCTGCAAAATCTAAAGGTCGTTTTAAGGCTGAGAGTATTTTCTTTGTTACCCCACCTTGCTCTGCATTTAAAGAAAAAACCCACAAGCACATTAATTTTTAAGGAGGTAAGGCATGATATGGAGAACTAGCCAAATAGTTTCAAATTACAAAAAAAAAAAAGAAAAGTCTTTAAAGCAATTGTAAAATTAGAAATTAAGTTTCAGAACAAGTTAAAATATGATTGGTGCCTATGTGAAAAATCAACTAAAATACAGAGCAGTATAGATTTTGGCTAGTATATTACTGTCTTGTCAATTAGGTGATAATTTTAGTGGACTGTTTATAAACATATGACATTTGTTATTAGTTACTTTTTATTTTTGTAAGGAGAAACTGTTTCAAAACAGTTTGATTTTGTTTAGGTTAATTCTGCTCTCAAATAACAAATAAAGACACTCATATCTTTCACAGTGATGCCACAATGGTAGGTACAGCTGGAAGGTTATGGAAATCACAGAATTATGGATATATTGGTTGGCAAGGGCCTCTGGGGTCAGCTGATCCAGCTACCCACTTGAAGCAGGACTGTTGCCAGCACTAGGTCAAGTCAGCCATGGCTTTGCGCAGCCAAGTCTGGAAACCTCTCTCTTCATTTAGAGGGTGACCCTCTCATTTTGAGTCCCTAGTATCTCCAAGGCCACCTCAGAGCCCTGCTGGCCATGACTGCCATTTCCTCACCATCCCTCTTGACAGTTTCCAGTACTACAGCCTTCCTGGGCAGCTGCAACTAAGGCTTATGTTTCCCCTAATCAGAGTGCCCCTGTTAGCTTCTGATTCAGTTTTAGAGCATGGCTTACCTTTTGCCTACATCATGGAGTTCTGTGCTATCCTGCGGATTTTCTTGTGCTCCCAAAACTGAAAATCTGAGCTCAGGTATTCCGAAATACAGAGGAGCAGAAGGATGGCTGCCTGTGAATGAGGCATTTATATCTTTACATGCCATAGGCTTTCCTTTCTGTCACCTACAGCTGACAGCATTTGATCTGAAGTTTGAATTTGGCCCAAAATGCCAATGGAATATTTCAAAGGTAGGCTTTGGTTAACAGTGAAAGTCTGATGCCAGAAAGCTGCCAGGATCCTGGGTAATACCAGAAAGAGAGCTCTATCTGACCTTGATTTGTGGAATTAAATGAACTTTATTGAACATTATCTCTCAAAGTTTAGCTTATCTCTTCTGCTTTCCAAATTTATAGTGCCAGTTCTACCCAAAGTGTTGGCCAAACCCGAGAATCTGTCTGCGTCTTTCATTGTTCAGGAAGGTAACATCACTGGCCATTTTTCCTGGAAGATATCCAAGGCAGACCTTCACCAGCCCATGACAGGGTTCCAAGTCACTTGGGCAGAAGTAACCACGGAAAGCCGGCAGAACAGCTTACCCAACAGCATCATTTCACAGTCACAGATACTGCCAGCAGTAAGTTGTTTGTTACTTTCCTTTGCTGGTGGCTTCTTAAGTGTGTGTGTATTTTTAATGTTTAGTGGTGATGCAGATGTCACACATAGCATTCTCTGGCTCTGCAGGCAAGTTTGAGCAGGAAGTGCTTAATTCTTCCTACTTGCTGGAGCTAGAAAGCACAGCTACTCATCTGAATGACACATCAAACATTTTAATGTGCACAATTGTTGAATTAGCAACAATTGTCTGAGAAATGCCTGAAGGGAGGAAAAGATCATCTGTGTGGCAGTAGATGGTTTTTATTTTCCTTTGATGATCAGGCTGTTCAACTTGGAAGTTACTAGAGATTTACTAACTATTTGCTGTCCAAGTCAATGGATTTAAAAGAATTTTCTCTTCCTTTATATCACTTATGGCTCTAAGAAAAATAAAAATCACTTCCCCTTCTGCCAATATGCACCATTGTCCAATAGACAAATAATTTAAAGGAGAACTAGATTTCACTGTTTATTGAAAGTCCAAAAATTAATAATTTGAATTCTTCCTCCTATTTGCTTTAAGATGGCCTTTGCTACTTCAGTTCCTCCTCTGGCAGAGGCAGATGAAGAGCACTCCATTCAGACTCCACTGCCAGATCCACCAGTCAACAAAAGGGCTTAAGCGGTTGGCCTTGATCCAAGGTCTGCTAATAACATTAAGCAGTCTTTCCATTCACTTCAGTGAAGTGGATCAAGGCAATTGTTTCTAGAGCAGAATCTGCTGAAAATCTTTTCACATTTGTCTCCTCAAAAAATGCGCAAAATGTTTTGTTGAACACATCTTACATTCAATGCATTTTCCACAAATCCAAGGCAAGGTTCTCATCATTCTGTCTTAATTCCTAGCAGACTGACCTAGGGCTATAGGGCACCCATGTTTCAAAGCCCCTTGTTCTGCAGGAGAGCAACAGAGTTGACCATGGATTCCTTAGAACTATGGGGTCACTTAGCACAATAATAAGCAAAGCTACAGACCATGAGATGTTGATTTGCGCTTTGGATTTCATCTTTTTTCTTAGGGGCAGGCATACGTTTTATTCAGCATTTCTATTCCTTTTTTTAGGCTTTTGGTCCAGTTAGATCTGAAATATGTATAAAGTTTTATTTAAAACACTCCTTTGCATTGTGGTTTGCTTTAATTTTTTTATCTTTATTGTCCTCTAGTTTCACTAATGTAGAGCCTGGAGATTCATTTTATTTCATCTATCTATCTGTCTATCTATCTATCTATCTATCTTTGCCTATGGCAACTGGCTAACTTGCAGAAAACTCTGACTGCAGTTGAAACAGTATCTCCTACCTCTCAGAAACAATCAGAACATAGGGTATTTTATGGTAAGGATCATTCACTCATTCTCTTTGGTAGCCTCTGATTGATAAAAATATAACATTTGCACAACCAGGGCTGAAACGCCCATGTCCCACCTGCCAGAGGAGCACCTGAATGAGCAGAGTGAGTCTATGAATGTGATGTATGCGCTCCCCTCTCTCTTTCTCTCTCTGTCTTCCCCCTCATTTAGCAACAGCAAATTACCAGTTATTCTCACAGCTCGCTTAGTTTCCCCCACATAGCTAACCAGAAGAAGGCGCCTTTCAGCTTGCTGCCCGGCCCAGCCCGTACGGTTGCAGGAGCACACCTTGCCCACAGTGTCCAGCATCACTGCCCTGTTGTCTCCTTCCTATGACTGGGCCTTTCCAACTTGGAATAAAATGAATCAGGGCTTTAATTCCTTAACACCTGTTAGTCTTTAGCCAGGTGTATTCTCATTCAGGAGTGGGTTCTTTAAATTTACTCTGAAATTATTTTCATAAAATCATAGAACAGTTTGGATTGGAAGAGACTTTAAAGCTCATCTAGTTCCAAATCCCCTGCCATGGGTAAGGACACCTACTAGACCAGGTTGCTCAAAGCCCCGTCCAACCTGGCCTTGAACACTGTCAGGGATGGGGCAGCCACAGCTTCTCTGGGCGACCTGTTCCAGTGTCTCACAACCCTCCTAGTGAACAATTTCATCCTAATATCTAATCTGAATCTGCCCTCTTTCAGCTTAAAGCACTTATTTTGCACAAGTCTAAGTGACCACAAAAGGTATGAAGCACTGAAAAGTGAGTCCATCATGCCGGAGATGGGATTAAGAGCAGAAGGTAGATTCTTACAGTGTAATTAGGACAAAGCTGAAATCAGTGTAGCCACACTGTCGTGGTTCAAGCCCAGCCGGCAACTTGGAACCACACAGCCGCTCGCTCAATCCCCCCCCGCTTTACGCCTTCTAGACTCTGTGAAAAAGCCCCCGCTCCCGGAGGGATGGGGAGGAGAATCAGAGGAATGTAACTACCACGGGTTGAGATAACAGCGCTCCAGTAACTAAGGTATAATACAAACCACTACTGCTACCAATAATAATGATAAGGGAAATAACAAGGGGAGAGGACTCAACCGCTCACCACCCGCCGACCGATACCCAGCCCGACCCGAGCAGCGATCTGGGCCTTCCGGGTAACTCCCCCCAGTTTCTATACTGGGCATGACATGCCCTGGTATGGAATACCCCTTTGGCCAGTTTGGGTCAGGTGTCCTGTCTCTGCTTCCTCCCGGCTTCCCCTCCTCCCTGGCAGAGCATGAGACTGAGAAAGTCCTTGGTCAGAGTAAACACTACTTAGCAACAACTAAAAACATCGGTGTTATCAGCGTTGTTCCCAGACTGAAAGTCAAGAAACACAGCACTGCACCAGCTACTAAGACGGAGAAAAAATGACTGCTATAGCTGAACCCAGGACACACACTTAGGTTCACTAGCTGCAGCAGGGGCCCTAGGCCTGCCATTAATTATTTTACAAATTAGTAGAGTTTCCAAGCAGATCCAACATAAAAACAAGTTTATATAATGAACATGTTTATTGAAAAGAATGATTAGGAAGTGTTTTTGGGTTTTTTTGGGTTTTTTTTGGTTTTTTTGTGATGAGCATCCACTTTCCAGAACACTAAGGTACGATTTGGACCTTGTAAAAAAAGTCTGCTCAAAGGGAATGTCAAGCAAAAAAATTCAGAATATATCCTCTCATCAAAGTGATGTAGACATTAAATCCTTTCAACATAATTCTAAGAAAATGATTTATCAGTGCTGAGAGTGACAGAACCTGTTTAAACAACTGATCTTTGTGAGTAGAGCAACTGTGTTGTATTTTTAGATGCTTTGAGGACTAATGCAATTTATTTATTTTTAGGATCATTATGTACTTACTGTGCCCAATCTGAGGCCATCAATGCTGTACCGCTTGGAAGTTCAAGTGCTGACGACTGGTGGGGAAGGGCCAGCTACAATAAAATCATTTCGAACACCCGACCTTCCTCCATTTTCACCCCACAGTAAGTTCTACACCATTTTGACATGTAGGTGTATGTTACAAAACTTCAGTCCTCCACATCTAAACATTTTGCTTGAGCCTTAGAGTCTGTATTCATGTCAACAGCGTTCCATAAACTGAAGATGTGTGAAAATATGGGATTCCCCCAACCATCCCAAGCAACGATGGAAGCACATGCAGTGTTTCACTCAATTTCTGTGGTCTGATATTTGCTGTTCATTCCTCCACAGCTCTTTGGCTTATGTGTATAGCACTTGGGATTCAAAGCTGATCTGTCCTCCAAGTAGTAGCTAGGACTGGGATTCCTCAGCTTTCAAGATAAAATTTTGCTGGGTGCATTCAGTCCAGCATGGCTAAAGCCTGATCGTATTTCTAAAGCAGTTCAAACCTCTTAGTGACCATTTTCAGCATTTCATGTCTTTCTGAAAAGTACAACCCAGTGCTATAAAGCAAAGTAAAAAATATAATGAACTAGTCCAAGATTCATCTGCTTGAATCTTTTTGTCTTTTCACAGTCTCACTAAAGTTGCCTGCACTAAACATGCACATAGTTGTCAACACAGGCTGTTCACTTACAAACTGAAGGATTGCCAGCTGAAGACCTCACAAAGCTTTATAGTACTGCTAAATGTTGGTATTACATATTCTCTGTTTGATACGTGAATATTTTCCTATTCTTTTGTTTAGGACCTCATCTGAAGCAACATCATCCACATCACTACAAGCCATCCCCAGAGAAATATTAGACTATTTCAGTTGATTATACGAATAAGAGAAAAAAACTGAGCTCCCAAACAAAGTCTGGGAAAAGGCACATCTATAGAAGCAATGAACCCAGTTTTCCAGTGGAAGTTACCGTCCTGTATGATCTGTATCTACTTCTCTGTAGTTTAGCCATGAAGAATTGTATTTGCACCAAGACCAGGATGAAGCATACAGCAAGTATCATGTAATTACCACACTATTCCACAAACTGAAGATCGCATACAACTCAACACCTGTGAGAAAATCAGAAGTTTGTTCATTATAATGAATAGTTTTTTGCATATCTATGTTTAAAGTAGATTGAAATAGTGCAGCATGTACAGCTTTTTCTCTTAGTGACTTCAATGTTAATATTTGCAAGGTTGTCCTGTGATGTATACGTACTTTTGAACACTGGAGGCCATGTTCTCATCAGCATATTTAAATGATATATTTTACTTAAAGCTTTGCAGGTCACCAGTTTAAGCCCTAGCGTATTTTGCTATTAAAGAAGATCTCTGTAAGTCTGAAATAAGGACGTAAGTAAAATAAATACCAGTAGCAGAAGCCCTAAAATAGTCAGCATTTGATAATTGCAGTATCACCACAGAGGAGGACGACAATACATTTGTATCACCTATCTATTCTGAAGTAGTAATGTTCTAATGTGTAGATCTTCTATTAACATAGTTAATAGCTAAAATATATACAGGGTAGATGTATCATTGTAAAGGAACAAATGGCAATTGATAGAATGTTGAAAATTAATGGCAGTTAACACAATCAATTGATAGGTCCTACTTTTGAAATCTCACTTAAAATTTTTCGGTGTATAGTATTTCAAGATGAATAGTTAACGTTAACATTTTAGAAACTGAAATCCTGAGGCGCATATATTATTCAAGTGGCTGCAGAGCTACTTTTTGGCTTTTGATTTTGATGCGCATATTTCTTTTCCCCATGGATCTTTTGAACAGAAGGATGGATGTATTGGCTCTATTCTGCTGTTCTGCTTACAGAAAGAATTATGTGACAATATTCTGGCATCTGGAAAACATTGGTTTATAGTTTATTTGAATGCATTTTTCAAATTCAGACAGAAGGGTGCCCTTTTTAACCATGAGGGAATTCATATTGCCTTATTGTGCAATATAAACTGTCTAAGATAATTTGCCACACATAGAGACATACCTCGACAGTAAACAGAAACTGCTTAGATTTATTATCAAGATGATGGAAAGTATCTGCCAATAAATGTTCATACAAATAATCAGCTTCTAATGTTCAAGATGTTCAACGTGCTCCTGCATTCTTTGGCACCATTTCCATTGTTCCCTGTATCATCGTATGAGGATAACATACTTCAAACACACAGGAGTCAAACTGGCCACTTTTTCTACTAGCAGATGCTACAGACTCACTTATACTTCATATTTGCCTGAGATATTCAGTGTGAAAGCTCAGCCTTTACTGGTAAATTTATTTTCCTTCTCTTGGTAGTGTTTTGTGCAAAGCTAATATGAAAAAAAGAAATACACACCTGAAGCTGAGGATCAGTTATGTTTATCGTAGTAGAGTGTTCACAAAATATTCAAATACAGTTTGTCTATACTAAAATTTGTACCTTTTAGTTTCATGTGGGTTAATAACACAGGGGGTGAAGGAAGCTGAGTTGATTTTTGCTTATTTCAGTTTTCCTACATTTCTACCTTTGGTTTTAAAGAGGACCTTTCCCCCCCTCCATTCTCTACTTTGCTTGTTGTCTTTTTTGGTATGCACTCAGTGACAAAGAACTTTTCCAGACGTTTTCTATTGCTACGTGGTTTTGGCTTTTAACAGTATTTTTAAAAATATTAAAGGCTATGGTACTTTTAATTCCTTCCTCTATCATTCCATCATCCCCCTTTTTCCAAAATACATTAGGAAATAAACAGATGAACTCTTCTTCATAAAATCTGTCATATAAAGGTTTGTTCTAAATTTTGGCAGAAAGCCAGATTTGCAGAGATTTTTGTCAAGATGGAAATGTTTTGTGTGTACAAATGTTTACCAGGAAAACACAATTTGAATGGGACTGATGTGCAGCACTTTGACATTTAGATTGCACAGGGCATAGGTAAGGCTAGAAGTAATCTCCATGGTGTTTGCTGAGACCAGGAGTCAGTGGAATCAGGGAAAATAATTACCTCAGGTTTCTCTGAAAAATTCTGTCCAAAACTTTCAATCATAGTCTATTCTAGTTATGCTGGAACAAATCTGCAGTGACTTGATTAATGTTAATGAAATTATGTTTCATTCATAGTGACATGGTAAAGCATAGAACATGGATGTCCATCTTTATTACAATGATACCAAAGCTGTCTTGGAGATAAACTGGAAGTTAGCAGCCCTGAGTGATCATACCCGTAGTCTTGGCTGCTGACAGGAAGCCTCAAGCTTCTGAAATGAATGAGAATAGTTACTGTTTGCTGATGCCAGGTTCTTTGAAGCATTCAACTTTTAAAAGTAACAATGTATTTTTGAAGAACCTGGTGTGGTTTTCCCTTTTAAAGTAGAATCTGGAAATTAAAAAAAAATGTTGATAGAGTTGCATTGAACCAGTGTGTTATATAGGGTCTACTAAGGTGTAAATTATTTTTTTCCTTCTACAAACCAGCATATGAACTCAGCTCTCAAGTCACCCTCCAAAGCAAAAATGAAAAATACAAAGTCAACAAAGCCCATGCCTGGATGTTAAATTTCCAACTGTCAGTGATTTCCTGATTTTAGTGGTACAGATTTGAAGTTGATAGTGCCTAATTCATAAAGCATTGTTTGCTGAATTTTGCAGGGTATTGTCCTAATTTACTAGCCTAAGTCATTAAACATTTAATTCAGCAATAGAGTTGTAACTGCTATTTGATTCACTAGTTGAAGATTTATTTTCTCTAATGATGTTGCATAATACAGAGTTAATATTGATATTGGGATGGTTTTAGATACTCTGCACCTTTACACTGATGTATTATTTGCTATGTACGATTCTGATTAATATGTCTGTTGACATCAAGATGCATTTTGTTTATTTCTTAAAGGAGAATTATAAGAGTATGCTATTTTTGCTAACTGCTTTGTGAAGTGGATTTTTTCTTTTGTTCATCAATGATTTTTGTTTAAGAAAGAACAGTTTGTTCTTTGTTTTTTCACCAGTTTTGAGTTGCTTATAGAGCAGGAGAAACTCAAATAAGACAGAGCTTGTCCTGTATTTATATCTATGTGTATAATATTGAATATTCATTAAGAATATAGCGCATAGACAATAAACAAGAGGTCTGACTTCTGAAATGCTGAACATCCTCTACTTAATGGCTTCAGAAGGAGCTGAGGACATTATGCGGCAATGCTAACATTGACATTAATGTGTGACATGGTCACACACAAAGATAAAGAAATACTGATTGCTAATCTGAATGAGAATTTTACCGCTCGTATTAGCAGAACTGCATAGAAACTTTAATACTAAGTCAGTTTATTCCACGATGCTTTCATCTCCATGCTTCCAACTGGAGCAAGGGATTTAGGCCCTGATTTAGGAAGGTGTGCAGAAGAGGAAACTTCCATATGCGCAAAAGAAGTCAGTAGGGTGGAAGTAAACCTGTGCAGTTAAGAATGAGCTTTAGCAATGCCTTGAATAAAGCACAGATGTCAAAATTTGCTTGAATACCATATTGAATCAGGGCCTTATCGAACAAAATGTGAGGCCCAGACAGTTCTAAATTCTGTGTATGACACCATGAAACATTTTACTTTTGTCTTGTGTATATGTAAATGTCATTGTGATATTGACTTATTTATTAATTCATTTTCTTATACTGTGTGCCAAGTATATTCCTACCCTTTGGAGCAGCACCTGTGAACATCAATTACTAAAAATAATGTTATGCAAACTTGTGCATTGTAACCAGGAATATGATGCTAATAAGCTGTTGCATGTAGTTAAAAATAATTAAGAAAACCCTTTATTTAAAAAATGTAAATGAATACCTGCAGATGTTGATGATTATATATGGTTTTGCATGCCAAAACTCATTGTTCAGTTGTGGGCATGAAATGTAATGACTGTATTACCTCTACTGAATATATTAGTAAGGTACAATTTACAAAGTAATTAACAGAGCTCTATATGTAAAATTTTTCCTTCTGACTTAATTATATTGTAGTAGAGGTAACAGAACTGCTTTTGTTACCCAAATTGGCTGTAGAAATTATGTTCCTATAACACTCATTTAAAGTCAGTATTTATTTATGTATGTATTACACAAAGATTGCTCTTACGTGTTTGTCCTGTTATTTAGAAAAAAAAAAAAAATACACTTGTAAAAACAATTTGTAAAAAAAATGTAAATAGAGTCTGATTTCTTTTACCCACTATTTTCATGTTTAGAATTTGTACATATTTCTTTAGGTAATAAACTATCCTACATCAAAATCTTGCTACATTATCTCCTCCATACAGAATTTATAGTTTTGTTTTTCTTAAGTTGAAGACATAGAATCACCTAAGGAAAATCAGTGTCACGCCAGGTACCTTTGCTACATCTGTATTTCATTCCTTATAAAGTCATACCATTTTATCCTCCATTTACTGCAGCATTTTGTTTTATTTACAAAGAGATCAAAGTAATCTGAAAATAAATTTTGATATAATTTCAGTGTTTTACTTCAAGCAATCCTTGAAGTAAAATATCAGACTGAAGAACTTTCCATCCTATTCTCTGTTTTAATAGCACAGTTCACTGTCAAGGTTTGTTCACTCTTTGTAATACTAACTTAAAATAATTCAGATGTTGCTGGATCTATGTCAGTGGCCTGATCCTGCAAGTCAAGATTTTCATAATTGAAACTTCTGTTGAAATCTATGTACACCAGATTTGGAGTATTTTCTATTTTAAAGTGCAGTATCCCATGATTGAAATTCTATATTTTTATCGAATATAAATATCTGTCTTAGTACAAACATTTA